TTTGTCACCCTGTTTCCTGTATCTGTGAATGCTATGGAGTCTGCTGGGCTCAGTGAGGTCATTATTAAGCAACCTAGGAACAGTGCAACTTAACTAAGAAGAAAAATCTAATTCAAAACTTCAAATTTTTCAGGAGGAAAAAATGCTTGGGGTGGGTTTTTCTCTTAAATTCTATTTCACTTTTCCATGACCCCTCCCTCTCTTTGGACTGGTCTTTCTCATGGCCTCAATACTCCTCTCAACACGGGGATAGAACCTTTGATGAAAGTATCTCACACGAGCTATTTACGTGTCCTTCCTGCAACAAAACCCAACCAAGCCATCAAGCCCTCTCTCTTTCCCTTGGTGACAAACTCTCTTGAAAAAGTCAGCCAGACACCCATTAGAGCCTCAGATGCAACCAAGGATGGTAGTCCAGATATTTATGCCTCTCTTCAATATCCCTGCCCCTGGTCTACAGAAGAAGGTGAACTCAGATAAATCTTCATTCAACACCCCTTCCAGCTCTGTAATTCTAAAATTTCATAACCTATTCAGAAAATGACCTAACAAGACAGTCCTCCCAGGGCCAGCACTGTGGTGTAGTGGGTGAAGCCACTGCTTGAAAGTGCCTACATCCCATATGGGCACCACTTCAAGTCCCAGCTGCTCCACTTCCAAACCAGCCCTCTGCTTATATCCAGGAAAGGCAGTGGAAGATGGCCCAAGACCTTGGGCCCATGCATCCACATGGGAGACCTGGAAGAAGCTCCTGGCTCCTGGCTTCAAATTGACCCAAATGGCTGTTGCAGCCATTTGTGGAGTGAATCAGTGCATGGAAGGATAAAAGATTCTTTTTTTAAAAAAAAATATTTATTTATTTGAAAGAGTTACACAGAGAGAGAAAGAGAGGCAGAGGCAGCGGCAGAGAGAGAGAGAGAGAGAAGTCTTCTATCTGCCAGTTCGTTCCCCAATCAACTGCAACAGCTGGAGCTGCGCCGATCTGAAGCCAGGAGCCTCCTCCAGATCTCCCACGCGGGTGCAGGGGCCCAAGCACTTGGGCCATCTTCCACTACCTTCCCAGGATATAAGCAGAGAGCTGGATTGGAAGTGGGGCAGCCAGAACTTGAACTGGCACTCATATGGGATGCCCGCACCGTAGGCAGTGGCTTTACCCGCTACGCCACAGCGCCGGCCTCTCTCTCTCTGCCTCTCTGTAACTCTGCCTTTCAAATAAGCAAATCTTTAAAAAAAATAAGTAAAAAAATAAAAAAGTTCCTCCTGAGAACAGAATGCGTAATCCTTCATGAACCAGATGAGCAGGGCTCAAGGACTCTTTGCAGCTTTTCAATCTCATGTACTTCTCTTTCATATTGAAAAAAAAAAAAATCTCTCCGCCTAGCGGCGCCGGCACACCGGGTTCTAGTCCCGGTCGGGGCGCCGGATTCTGTCCCGGTTGCCCCTCTTCCAGGCCAGCCCTCTGCTGTGGCCAGGGAGTGCAGTGGAGGATGGCCCAGGTGCTTGGGCCCTGCACCCCATGGGAGACCAGGAAAAGCACCTGGCTCCTGGCTCCTGCCATCGGATCAGCGCGGTGCGCCGGCCGCAGCGCGCCGGCCGCGGCGGCCATTGGAGGGTGAACCAACGGCAAAGGAAGACCTTTCTCTCTGTCTCTCTCTCTCACTGTCCACTCTGCCTGTCAAAAAAAAAAAAAAAAAAAAAAAAAAAAAAAAAAAAAATCTCCTATCAACTTCACTTTCAAGGATATTTAAAAAAAAAAGTAGGACTCGGCATCCACAGCCATGTCAATGCAACACAGAGGTGAGCAGAGCAGGACTTTGCCGAACATTAGCCCACACGTGTGGCTCCCAGCACCTTTCACACCCAGCAGATCCTCGCTAAGGCATTTCTGCTGGGCCCCAGGTTCCATGAGTACGGGGACCAGGTCATGATCATCCAACAGGAAAAACAAAATTCTGAGCATGAAAAGGGCTGCCGAAAATTAACAGGCATTAATTGATCTAGAGCGTGGAAACATGCCTGTGCTACCCAGACTGCACGTTACTTATTCATGAGCAGGATCAAAATCCTGCCCACTGCAAATGCACAGACATGATCAGAGAGCGGAACGCCCGCCCCTGAGGAACCTGTAAAATAGGAATGGTCCCCGTCTCATTCTCCAGCTGCTCCTCCCTGTTCTTCCTCTCTGACCTTCTCCCACCCTGAGAGCTCTGTCCTGGGACCTGTCCCTTCCCCCTTCCATTCCCAGAGCTTAAAAAAAAAAAAAAAAAAAAGGAATCTTTATCTCCAGAACATACTTCCACTTTTGTCCTCCACACCTTGTCTACAAATGTCTTCTGAGCACCAGACTTCTTCAACTCATCTACAGTGAAACTGTAGATATGCCCCATCCCACTCTCCCAGATACAAGCTCTCCCTCCAGTGTCTGCACAGCCTGGAGGGGCCTCCATCTATTCATGTGTTTGCGCCAGAAACCTAGGAGTCGTTCCTAACGTCCCCATCCATCTGAGCCCACAATAACAGAGAACTGCAGAAGTGGCTCCCAAGTCTATCTCGATCAAGTGTGCTCTGTCCATCGGCTTCGCCTCATCCTTCTCCAGGCTTCCGTCGTCCTGCCCTGGAGCACAGGTACTTCTCTGCGGGTCCTCTAGCCAGCCGCACCAGCACACCAAGCCCAAACATTTCCGACAAGGGAACCTGAGCAACCATGACAAGATACAAACGGGATCAAATCATTCCTGGTTCGAAACCTTTCCTTGGGCACCCACAGCTCCTAAAATTATGTTCAGAATCCGGAACCAGATATTCACTGCCCACCTTTCTCGGTTTCTTTCCTGAACACCTCCTGCCCACATCTTGACGTTCTCATTTGCTCTTCTCTTCGTCTAGAAGTCTTTTCCAGGACCCATTATGCCCCAGCATGTACACACACACACACACACACACAACTTCCTTGCCCTGTCTATTTGCTACCCACTCTGGAAACACTTTCTAAACACCACTCCTAAGGGAAGCCTTCTCTGCTGACCTAGAGTAGGCCCTTCAGGGAAACCTGCTAGTGCGCCTGTATCCTATTTCGACAAGTGACTTTCTAATGTCAGCTTTCTTCCCACAGAAGAACGTTCATGAAGGCAAGGAGCTCATCTCTGTGTTGATTCTTTCACCCCAGAGCCTGGTACAGTTTGGCCCATGAAAGATTCTCAATGAAGAATGAGTAATGGCAAGAATGAGCTAGTGAGAGGAGAGGGAGGAAGTGGGAGGGGTCAGTGCATCCCTAGTGCGTCCCTCCTCCTCCTCCTCACTTTCTTGACAGGGTAAAAATGGGAGGAAATAGAGGAGTGAGGCAGGGTCACATGGGAGGAAGACGATGGGAAGAGCAAGCAAGAAGGGAAAGAGACCCCCAGGCAATGCTTCAGGACAACATCAGGACAAGGTAACAGGGCACGGCTTTTTAGATAAGATGGGTCATGGAATCCAGACTTTTTTTTTTTTTTTTTTTTTTTTTTTTGACAAGTAGAGTTAGAGAGCGAGACAGAGAGAAAGGTCTTCTTTTTGTTGGTTCACCCCCATAAACGGCCACTACAGCCGGAGCTACGCCGATCCGAAGCCAGGAGTCAGGTGCTTCCTCCCAGTCTCCCATGTGGGTGCAGGGCCCAAGCACTTGGGCCTTCCTCCACTGCCTTCCCAGGCCACAGCAGAGAGCTGGACTGGAAGAGGAGCAACCGGGACAGAATCCGGCGCCCCGACCAGGACTAGAAACCGGGGAACTAGAGCTACAGGTGGAGGATTAGCCAAGTGAGCTGCGGCGCCAGCCCCATCTACTTTTAATCTCTAAAATGTCCAAAGTATAGACACTATTCCAGAAAGAAGGGGACTATGGAGAATGGAGAGAGTGATGGGAATGACACTGGTTGACAAGCCACTCAACATTCACGAATAAGGACTTCCTCTCTACAAAGACATAAGAGAAGATGAGCCCTCTGCAGCCCTGGTGCAACCTTAGTGGCTCAGGGCCCAGGGCACCCACTCTACGTCGCTTCCTCTAGCTTCTTAACCAAGACACAGCATACCCCAACGTACTGAGCATCATATAGTAAGCTCCTTTATTACAGATGGACAACGAGACAAATCTGAACCCATCAATGCCCACTGTGAAGACATCTTCCAAGAAAGGAAAGATTTAGCCCTGGCCTGCACTGAAAAATCCACTTCAAAATCAAAGTCTTCGGACTGGAGCAATTGCTTGCAGTATATAACTTAAGGATGAGTGACTATACTTCCCCGGCAAAAGCAATTCAAACAGAAATCTTTACTTACACAGGCCTATTCCACAAATGTTCATGGTTGTTGTTTAAACACAACTTTTCATGTAACAGCATAAGCTTATTTGTACCCAGTAGATTTTAGATACTGGTATTTCCCAGGCCCCCTAACTCTTGGTCTCCACTGCTGATCCCCATTTCCAGTGAGCAAATGCGATAGAGATGCACAAGAGAGCCAGGTGAATTAGGGTACAATAAATGAAATCAGGCGGGCAGCTTCCAAGATCCATGTTCAGTGAAACAGATGCTAAGTTACTTCAATCAGCAGTAGCATTTATAACACATAATGACAATGCAGTAAGTATCCAATGGTTTGGGACACTGGCCAAAAACAACGCTAGACCTCTAAGTTAACAACCCTTTAGAAATAAACTGAAAGGTGATTTTATGCTCACTGTAAAATCTGTCAACATAGCTACTGCAATAAATATGGCAGATCTCATCACTGCGACTGCCCAGAGTGGAAAAGTACAAACTAACCGTTCTTCAAGAACTTCTCAAGAAGTAATCTGGGCGCGACAGGACTATAAATCTGTTCATTTGTACAAGCCAAGTTACATGAGACTGATTGAGAAGCCTTCCATTAATAGCATGCGTCAAAACAACAGTTGTACAGGCATTTAAAAATTGAGGCTCAGAAATTCACAATATCATCACATAATGATTTCCAGACATACTCACATCAGTGTCAGGTCCCTTATCCGCACCCGGACAAGAAAAGGTAACAAATTCATGGCACCTCTTGTGAACCACAAAACAGCAAACTGGTGGAGAGAAAAAAAAAAATCTACAATTAGAACAGTCCAGATTAAATATACGAGCGCTGTTTTCCAAACAGGACTCCTTGCTATTAAAAAGTTAATCTAATTTCACTACACAGACAGTCTTATAAATAGCATTTTGTTTGTAAATCAGCAATATTTGGTAAGAACTGGACTCGTGGGTAATAGAACCTTAAAATGCCAACGCTAACAGGGACCAAGCGGACATAAGTGGTAGCTCCTAAAGCTGAGCAAGAGGAGATCCAGAGATAGACAGACAGTTTCCCCACATGCAGACCAGAAGCCAACACTCAGAGGGCTGCACCATCCGGGATCACTAGACCCACACACACGCCCTCGCAACTAGATGTATCTAAGCCGCATACCCTGTAAAACGAATATAAAGGGAATTACTCATTATAGATAAGCACACTGAAGACTTCCTTGGTAGAATTCTGAACTTAAGAAATCCAATACAACACTAATCTAATCCACAGTAAACAGCTCATTGAAACAAAAAACACAGTCAGGAAATACCTTAAACCTTTTATATCTATTTGCTATAGGTGTTGTCACCAGCTGAAGAGCCCCTGAAAATCTAGCAAAATTTATTCCACAGCAAATATTTTCCAAGCTCATATGGTTTTGATAACTAATCCTGAAGATAAATCAATGAAAAAATTTAATTGTTATAGGGGCTGGCGCTGTAGCATAGTGGATAAAGCCACTGCCCGCGACACAGGCATCCCATATGGGAGTTGGTTCAAGCCCTGGCTGCTCCACTTCCAATCCAGATCCCTACTAACACACTTGGGAAAGTAGCAGAAGATAGCCCAAGTGTTTGGTCCCCTGCCACCCATGTAGGGGCCCAATGAAGCTTCTGGCTCCTAGTTTCCCAACCATTGAGGCCATCTAGAAAGTAAACCAGTGGATGGAAGATTTCTTTCTCTCTCTCTATACATATATTTTTCTCTACACATACTCTCTCTATATATATTATATATAATACATATATCCTGAAGATGAATATATATAATATATAATATCCCTCCCCCTAACTCTGACTTTTAAATTAATAAAATAAATCCTTTTAACAATCTTAATAGTATGGAAAAAAAGTGATCCCCTAAGAGGTTTTTGTGGAAGGTATAATGTGGAAAATACACACACACACACACACACACACACCCCAGAGTTGAAATCTACTCCAAACAGTGCTCTCTACTCTTATGCTTGCCGAACAGGAACAAGGTACTAAAAAGCAGTAAGCCCTCAGCACCACTGAGTAATCTGTACTACATGCTAGAGTTTAAATGTTTGTCCTCCCAAACCTCATGTTGAAACTCCGTTGTCACTGTAGTGGTGTTAGGCCCTTTGGGAGGTGACTGGGCCATGAGGGTTTTGCTAACCTATAACTCAGTTTATGTTGTTATGAATGGAAGGGCTGGGCCACTCTTGTCTCTTCCCCCTTCCACCTTCCACCACGTGAAGACACGGTGTTATACTTCCTCTCTGGAGGATGCGACAAGAAGGTCCTTGCCAGACCCTGGCATTTATCCTCGGATTTCCCGGCCTCCAGAACTATGAGAAAATAAATTTGTATTCTTTATAGATCCCCCAAGTCCAAGGTGCTCTGTCACAGCAGCTCTAATGGATCAAGGCACTGCGCAAGGAAGGCCAGCACTTCCTCAATTCTTGGTTCGTGGGCTATCTCCTTCTCTCGCCAGTGTGGATGCAACTCCCTGCACATGTGTCAATGGATGAAGAACACAGAAGGCGGTCACTTCAGGGTGGGAGAGGACGGCGGGCAGGTTTGCTGAGAGCTGAAATGCCTTGAGGAAATCGATTCCCAGCTAAGAAAATCCGGATATTCTTGATAAGCCTTGGAAGCCACTGACAGATTTTCAAAAAGAGTAACGCAGGCGAAAGTAACGCTTTGGAAGTGCAAAGGGTGGCGGGAGGAAGAATTTAATGGACTAGATTAGGGGTCGCAAGGGCAGTGTGAAGACTCTTGAGTCATGCAGGTGGAAAGTAGGTGCTCATCATCACCCAGGCTGCGAGGATGGGAGAGCTGATGCTGGGCATGGCACACGGCAGAGACCGGCAACTGCCCCGGTCAGCTCTCCCTGGGCACCCGCGTGGTCAGCTCTCCCTGGGCACTCGCGTGGTCAGCTCTCCCTGGGCACCCGCGTGGTCAGCTCTCCCTGGGCACCCGCGTGGTCAGCTCTCCCTGGGCACCCCGCGTGGTCAGCTCTCCCTGGGCACCCGCGTGGTCAGCTCTCCCTAGGCACCCGCGTGGTCAGCTCTCCCTGGGCACCCCGCGTGGTCAGCTCTCCCTGGGCACCCGCGTGGTCAGCTCTCCCTGGGCACCCCGCGTGGTCAGCTCTCCCTGGGCACCCCGCGTGGTCAGCTCTCCCTGGGCACCCCGCGTGGTCAGCTCTCCCTGGGCACCTGCGTGGTCAGCTCTCCCTGGGCACCCCGCGTGGTCAGCTCTCCCTGGGCACCTGCGTGGTCAGCTCTCCCTGGGCACCCCGCGTGGTCAGCTCTCCCTGGGCACCCGCACGGGCCAGCGTTCTGTTGGGTCCCTTCATCGCTGTAAGTCCTTAACTATGCTTCAGTAACCACGTTTAATGGACGAGAAAACACTGCAGAAATCTCCAGGATCTAGCGTGTTGTAAGCACACAATGAGTATTTGTAGATGGGGCAGATACAGCGAGGGCAGATAAAGGCACAGACGCACAGACCACAGACAAATGAAGATCTGGCTGAAGGTCACCCATGTACTTTGCGGTACAACAGGGACCTGTGCCAAAGCGTGCTCGGCTCCACAGCTCACTTTCCTTCTACCTGTCACATTCCCTGACAAGCTCTCCGAGCACAAAGGATACTAGAGCTGATGCCAAGATTTCCCATAAGGGTGGCAGGAAAATGGGAACATGACAAAAAATATATACAAGTGCGTGTGTGTGTGTGTGTGTGTGTGTATGTGTGTGTGTATATATATGTGTGTGTATATATATGTATGTATGTATATATAATGTTTATATACATGCATACATTCTATATAAGCCCAGGAGGAGGAAGATATGCGTATACCATGTCAGGGAAGTAGAAGCAGATGACCAACTGCTTTCTTAAATAGTTTTCCTTTAAAGGGGTCATACTACCATGCACCTGCAAAAAATATGTTTTGAAAAGGAAATACATGCTTGACATGTAAATGTGAACCACGTGTCAAAAGGTGACAAATGAAGATCTCTGAAGGTGAGCATCCTCCGGAAGTGCAGCTGTACCCAGCAAGGGGTTCTCCGGAGCTGCCGTGGCTACTGTGCCCATCGCACCTGTCTGCCAAGCAGAGGCAGGGCCAGGAGGCAGCGTGAGAAGAGGAGAAGGAGCGCCCTGGCTGCCCAGCCCGGGCTGACTCGAAGGACAGGGACAGCGCTTGGCCCCGTGAGCCCTGCGAGGAGCGCCCTTTCCCTGTGCTTCTGCTCAAAGCATCTTCATCATCAAAGCCTCCAAGGACGGACAACAAAGCAGTGCTGTGATGGCACAGGTTCATGCGACTGCTCACGCCCCCGGGCACAGCGCCTGCTGTCGTCGCTGACACTGGAAAGACCAACAGCCACAGGAAAGGGGAGACCGGAGCACTGCCATCCTTTCTTTTTTTTTTTTTTTTTTTTTTTTGACAGGCAGAGTGGGTAGTGAGAGAGAGAGAGAGAGAAAGGTCTTCCTTTTGCCGTTGTTTCACCCCCCAGTGGCCACCGCGGCCGGCGCGCTGTGGCCGGCGCACCACACTGATCCGAAGGCAGGAGCCAGGTGCTTCTCCTGGTCTCCCATGGGGTGCAGGGCCCAAGGACTTGGGCCATCCTCCACTGCCTTCCCGGGCCATAGCAGAGAGCTGGCCTGGAAGAGGGGCAACCGGGAAAGAATCCGGCGCCCCGACTGGGACTAGAACCTGGGGTGCCGGCGCCGCAGGCGGAGGACTAGCCTAGTGAGCCGTGGTGCTGGCCAGCACTGCCATCCTTTCTGATGGACATCGTTAGAAACACTCCGATTTCCTCCTTAATCGCTCACACGTTTGGGTCTTTCATTTCTTTTTAAATCATCTCCAAGTTTGGGTGAACACTGTTAGCAAAACCCACACTTCAACAAACACCTTTGGAAGGACAGTCTGTTTTCTGTATCTGTCCTTTCTGTCTGCATTTACACATCAATGCAATCAGACACCTCCAGCTGGAAGTATTGCTGGTTTGCACCTCAAAAAAATCCCTTTCATCAAATCTCATCCTAAAAAGACCCAGGCCCTGGCTGCCCAGGATAATCCACAGGGTTGACAATAAATAAATAAATAAATAAAAGCTCCAAATCCCCCCAAAATTATTTCCTCCCCATCTGCCTTGGCAGCCCCCTCCGCTCCCTCCTTACATGTGAGCCCACCAGGAGAGAGCCACTTACTTTATCTGAGGACAGAGATCCTGCAATCCTGATCCAAGATTCAGAAGAGAGCATCCCCAAAGGAAGAATAAAAATACAGTGTACCCTTGCCTTGGTGACTAAGGAGCAACAGCCCGGCTGCCCCCTTCTGCCACCCCCAGGGAGACAGGAAAGAACCTGAAGGTTGGCTGACGCTGTCCTAGGAAAGACGGCCCAAGAAAACTGAGCAATGACCAGAGATCCCAAAACCATGGATGGCTGGCCTTAAATTCTGGTTTCCAGTTCCAAACAAGATTGAGAAATGCGTATGTCATGAGATAATATAATGAAAACGTCTGGGAAGTGTTGCTAGTTGGCTGAAGAAAAGATTGGGGGCCGGCATCATGGCAAAACAGGTTAAGCCACCACTTGTGATGCTGGTATCCCATAGCTCTGTGCTGGTTCCAGTCCTGCTTGCTCCTCTTCCAGCCCGGCTTTCTGCTAATACACCTAGGAAGGCAGTGGGAGATGGCCCAAACGTTTGGGGCTGGAGGGAGTTCCTGCGGGCCTGCCCCAGACCTGGCTGTTG